TCTGACTGATGACCTTGGCAAAACATCCAGGCTGAATATAATGCTGGCTGGCACCACAGTTCTAATAAAACAACTGGATGGACCTAGTCGAAATGAACATGGCAACTCCAAAAGAACATGCTAAGCCGATAAGACGCAATATATAACTTTTATCCTGTTCTGAATCACAGAACCACAGTTCCTGGCTGAACTTTCTGATTGAACTGAGGAACCAGCAGGTCAACATGACCTGGTAATCACCTGGAAACACTCCTGAACCCTTGCCTTGGCCCTTGCTCATGATGTTGAGTTAGTTTGCATTGAACAGAGCCCAGGAGTCATAACAGAAACATTTGGGAAACTAACAGGTTCCACACACCTGAGGCTAAACCAACCAACAACACCATTACACACAACGAGCGGCAGGGGAACTGATCCTCAGTTTCAAGCCTCACAAGGCAAGGCTCAAGCAGAGACCTGAAAGCTCAAAGGTCAAACCTGAAAGCTCAAAGTTCAAACCTGAAAGCTCAAAGCTCAAACCTCAAAGCTCAAAACACAAAGTTCAAAACCACATCTTCAAAGCCACACAAGTTACTTTGAAACAAACACGAACACAGTAACTACTCTGGCTCTGCAACATGCATCATACAAGGTTCCACACATGCAACGTTTCAATTAAAACAAACCAAATTAAACTAAACGCTCAGAATCTAAGAAGACATGAGTTTTAAACGAGCCATAAACGGTAACAATCATACTGCAACCATAGTTTACCAAAACAAACATCACATCATTTTCACAATAGTTTATAAATCTATTCAGCAAGGCACGCTCCCAAACGGATTCCACCACACACATCAATGAACACGTGTTTTCTCAACATCCATGTAGTCTCACATCTGTGTAGCGTGACGATTTCAATGATCTAGGGGTTACACCGCCAGGCCCCCCAGATTCAAGACGGGGCCCAGTCAAAACCATCTTAAAGTACGAAAGTGAAAGGACATTATTCATAAACCCTAAAGAAAATCACTGTGAAAATATGTGATGGAAGACGCGCCCGACCAAAAGTCAATAAGATGGATGGTTCGTGAGTCGAGGCCGGGCCCATCTGTCTCTTCCCTCTAACGTCGGCTGTGGAAAGAGCAGGCGCCACTTGCCCTAATCGCCCCATCTCGGCCATATCCGATCCCTGTAGGCCCCCCAACTCTTTTTGGAGCAGTGGGTGCCATAGAGCGTGCGCTGCACGATCCACTGTTCGCCAGGTGCTGTGGCCCCAGCGTCCTGAAACAGCCTCGGTGGATTGACTTTAAGGATGTGACCACCCGTCGCATCCTTCCAAGTTTTCGTGGGGCGCGTGCAGGAACGCTGTTTGATGTCCGCAGTAGCTGCCGCTCGCATAGACTTCTTCTGCAGGCCGCTCGTGCGTGTAGTTTCCGCCCTTGCGCCTTGCGTCCTTTCCAGACACAATCTCGAAGATCCGCCCCTCTCCATGGCACTTCTCCTCGAGCTGATTGACGGGGACACCGTGACCGTATGAGCCAGAGCGCCTCCTGCAGACAACCATCCTTCTCGAAATGCCCAAGATCTTATGAGAACATGCTGTGATGGCATGCTCAAAACACACACTCAATGTCAAGCGCAGGGTATCTGTGTGGATCTTGCGCACGGCACGCAGCAACACCGCTGCCACCCTTATGGTCCTGAGCGTCTCAGCGTCTCTGCGTCCTGCTTTGTTGGGGTACGCTCGCATGATGATGCCTGCAGGACATGAGGCGCCTGATTGATAGTGTAGGGCACCCTTCTTGTATAAGAAGAAGCTTCTCTTCTATTATTGACTGCGTTGAATGCGTCTCCTGGCCAGTTCACAGACACGTAGGACAGTTTGCCAGCTGCTGACGCTTTGAAGCGATGCGAATCAAACTCTCCTGCCGTGTGTTCTTTTTGTCTTGTTGCGGCCACGGCGCCCTGGCTTGGAACCTGTGCTCGCATTGTTGGCGTTTATGCGAAAGTGGAAGGATCACGATTCCAGCAGCCACATGCAACCACACTGGAGGCCATACACAGGCAGTTCACATGGTTGTAGGGCAGACCATGGTTCGAGGCGCGCTCCCTCTCATTGGGCCATCTTAAACGAACATCTTCCACGAACAGGTCACCACCTGCCTCATCCCCAATTCAGGCTGACTGAGACCCACATTGTTGGCGTACGGGTGGGGCTGGGTTGTGTGTGCTGGAATCGCTTACGTTCTCGATCTGCAAGCCTTTCCATTCCAAGGCCTTGATCCAGTCCTGACTCCACTCACCGGCGCCGTTGTTTGTACCAGTCTACCAGCGACCAGTTCTGCACCGTCCAATCGACTGTTCTCTTGTGCTGCATCCTGCATAGGACCCCTTAGAGATCTGTTTCTGGTCAGTCTTGGCAACCTCGATCTCCTTGTGGTGGTGAGAGCACCTCGGTCGGGGCTTTTGCGTTGCTGCATGATTGTGTGTGTGTGCGTGGAGGTGACCACTTGAATTCGAACAGAGCTGATTGAGCTCACGCATGGATGTGACTTAGGGGTTGTCACTTGAATTCAGACAGGGCTCATTGAGCTCATGCACGGATGTGACTTCAAAGCGCTTGGACCACTTGAAGAAGAAAGGTGATTTCTTATGAGCCAATGAAAATTACACACAACCCATACATCACCCTGCTTCGGCGCCCAACTTCTCAGGTGTTCCTGGCAAGCTGCAGCTTTTGTCCTGCTGACTACCTTGATGAGGTTGGGCAGGGGCACATGAGAAACCTGGGATCTGGATGGTGGGGGAGCACACCTGCTAGGTTGCTCCAAACAACTTGTGCACACAAACCACATCTATGTTGCAAATAGAACGAGGGGGAGCAAGAAGGTATCGATAAACTTTTGTGAGTTCAGAGTGGATGATGATGCTTAACTAACATCCCTGCCTCAAAAACAGTGATATGCTTTTACCAAGTCTCTAGGACTTTAGATGGAACAAAGTGGCCTTGAACTTCAGATGTTGTTCTGCTATCTCACACCACCAGACCTCATCAGGAGCAAGACAGGTAAAGCGCCACGGCTACTGAGTATACCATCTTTTTCAGAGGGTTTGTTGATCGTAGCCCCCTTTGTCATAGATCATATAGGCTCCGGGATCCTGTCCATCCATGTGCTCAGCAACAATGGGGTCATGCAAGGTTCAAGAAGATTGGAAACAAAACCCACATCGTGTGTCCCCTATGGCTGCGATATATAACTATAAAGTTTTGACCCATACCCATATGGTTGTTTGCCCAAATCAGCCCAAAGGCAAATCTCCAAGTCCGACCTGCGGCCTTTCACTCAACCCACCGAAGAGGACCTGCGCGGCGCTGGGCAATGGGCCACGATCGATTGACGCCATTGTGTGTGAAAGGTCCATACACATTGGAACAGTGTCGTGACCAGCAAAGCTTGGAACCACAATCATACTGATCTGGTAACTCCGTCGTCATGCTCTTGCAGCAACTTCCTTCATGGACAAAACCATGCTGACCGGATTCCATGGGACATGTAGCAAACCGTGCATGCTGGCTGGATGAAAGGAACCATACGGTAATCCACAAAACTGGGTCCCCGAACTTTGATTCAATGTAGGAAGCCATTTAGCAGGTTGCCAGGTCTTGCTCAACAGCTTCTTTGGCATTGTCAAAGCCTTGCCGCAGCTAGCTTCTTCCAAGGGGTCACAAAACTGTTGCGCAAAGGTGTGGCCACAGAATCGCTGTCAAAGCAAAACCTCGAGAGCCTCAGAAAAGGCATTGGGCAGGGTACTTTTGCTCACGGGCTTGGGTTGGAAGTCCCCATCCACCACTGGCCAGAGGTTCCCCTGACTGCCATGTGAGCTAGTGGCTAGGCTTGTAAAGTGAAATGTCCATGATTCATAATCATCATTCACCAAAAACATGAGGCGAAAAACAACTTGCAAGCACAGGGCCCAAACTGCATCACCTTTCGGCGTCAACTCCTTGAATTCCAACGCTGTTGGTAGTGTCTGCCTGGGAACAGCGTGCAACGCATTTTCCAGCATAGATCCCAAGTATCTTAGTCGGCAAGAATTGTTGTTGTTGTGGTGGTGGTGAACGGCCGCAGCCCCAGCCCCTGCGTGGGAAAACAGCATAAGCAGCGCGACAGCGCCAGGACAACAGAAAGACCAGAGGAGGGCGTGAGGAGGACAACGGAGGACAAAAGGACGAGGGAAGCAAAACAAGACGAACCCACCAAGAGGACAAAAGAAGGACAAGCTGTGTTTGGGCAGCGCCACCTGGACCACAGAGCAACATGAGGGGAGCAAGCCAAGAGGAGAATAGGAGAAGGGGAAGAGAATACAAGAGAAAGACAAGACGGCGACGGAGCAGGACGAGTACAACAGAGATAGGTTGGCAGCCGCCGCCAATGAACACCTGAATACGGACAACATGAAGGCAGTAGAAGAATGTGAGCATGACAGGACCACAAAGATTGTGACAAGATTGAATGATCTTGTCTTCACATGCATGCTGGAGCTTGGGTGACCTGGTTCAATACGCTCTTGGCTTCACATGCATGCTGGAGTTTGGTGACCTGCTTCAACATTGCAATCAAGTGGCAATTGCCCTTGTTTGTTTCTTGTCTCAAATGTAGGGTCCTTGAGTTATCAAGGATGGTTCCTTCAACATTGCAATTCCAAAGAAAACAAGAGGATTGAACTAGGCCACCTTTCTCCCAGCCCGGGTTTTGAGCCCAAACCCATCCTCAGAACAAGACCAATCAAAACTTTCAATTCCTAATCTGATAGCTGGTTTGGGAAAACATATCCTCCGAGTGCGCTTGGACCCTTAGAGGATTCGTATTTATCCCCGCTTCGTGGGTCAATCTCCTTGCAAAGGTTTTCTTGGTCATAACATGAATCCATCTTCAACAGCAAGTCGATCAAAAGGACGATGGGCTAAATTTGGCCTTCGCCCAGAGACACGGATGTCGCCCAGAGACGAAGCCAAGGACGACGGATCTTTGACTTGAACTTCAAGTTAACATCCAGGACAGAGACCAGACCAGACCAGACACACGTTGTAAGAAAACACTATGGTGGATGCCATGGCATCGTGAATAGCGCCTGGATTTTCTGTTTTCCCATACAAACAGGTGAACTCCACTTCCATGTGATGTTATCATCTGAACATTTTGTGGTGGACGAACTTGGCGATGTGGACTTCCAACATCCTCCAACCAACTAAGCCAAACGCAAAAGGCCAAAGGATTGGTTGGATGTGAAAGAAACAGCAGGCAGTGCAGGCAGTTGGTTTTTCATTAAGGCCAGCCTTCCATACATGGGTTGTTGGGGCTTGAAATAAAGGCTTCAACACACCTACAGGTTCAACATAAAACACTATTTGGAGACCACAATGGGAGACCAAGTTGGATACTTTCCTTGCGGATCCTTGCGGCTTAAGATGAAACCAGACCTAGATTTCACCCTATCCTTCACCATGTTTTCTTCAGATGCGACATCGCCGACGTCGGCGCGGCCCAGACGCTCGGCTCGACGTTCTCGCTTCCAGGAGGTCGAACCACAGCGAGTCGTTGGGCGCGTGGTTTCAAGGCGAGTTCCTTGACCCGGAGCGGTGCGTAGACGGGTCTTGTTGGTGCACTGTGGTCGTGTTGAGCTGGTGGTTTTTGATCAAGGATGTGTTTTTAGACATTTTTTGCAGATCGCCCAAGGGCCCCCAAGATTCGATGTCGACAGCAGCTGGGGTGTCGATTCTTTTCTTGGCGTCACGCCCTGGAGATTGAGGTTCAGTTCGTTTTGTTCTTAAAGAGTCCGAGAGTCTCGTTATCGAACCTAAACGTTTGGGTCGTCGTCCGGTTTTACTTGGCCAGTGGGCCTCCTCCTTTCGCAGGGAAGTCCGATTTTTGCATTGCCTCCTTGGGGATTTTGTACGGATGTGGTGTGGGCCCTTTTCTTTTTTTGGTATCTGTATGTGTTTTCGCCTTGTTTTTAAGCATGTGTTTCATGCCTTTTTCCAGTTTCCAGTGACAGTACGATGATGTGGTGTTTGTTTCACACCCTTCTCCAGTGACCCCACCTTCGTGGCACGGGGGAAGCGAAGCCACCAAGCCGGCCAAATGGCCGTCCGGAACGAGAAGGTCTTAACTGTACTTGGTATGTGCCATCCTGGTCGACCTGGGTGTCCCAGGAGATCCAGTTGCGCCTCGGGGCGTCCAGGTCTGGGGGGGTGTCCCAGGTGGACTGGGATGGTCCTGATTCATCTTTCAGACTCTTGGCTCCAGATTTGGGCATCGCTTGGCCAATCTCCCTAGAAAGACCTATACCAGGACCATCCGATGGGTGTCCTGGCTGGACTACCCCACACTACATAGGCTTCCATTGGGCACCCATTGGATGGTCCAGGTATACAGTAGTTGAACCAGCATTTAGTGACTAGAGTCACGGTCTCACTTGGAGGTGTTTTCGTCCAGATTTTGTTTACTTCGCCAATCCCAATGGGTGACTGCTCCTGGCCTCCTGGCCGTACGGTGAGGATGTCTGTTCTCCCCACGGCTGGACGTAGGCTTCTTCGACTTCTATGCAAATGACTTCGACTGGAAGGAGGAGAGACCGGTATGGCGGGATCAGGAGAGGCAACGCCTCAGGAGGTATGGTTAGACATGCAGCCTTTTTGGACCGAGTCTGGCTGAGAAAGAGGTCGTGATCCCCTTAGCTTATCCTTATATCATGCTTGATGATCATTTTAATGTCGCCAAAATAGATCAAGATAGGTCAAGTAAAGCCTAGACATGACATGTGGAGGTCGGACATTTTTGCGACTCTACCTCTATCAGGTGCTAGATGCTCTAGGTTTTAGACCAGTCAGAAGGGGCTAGAGGGCTCACTCTCACTCCACCATCAGAGTGGGTGACACTTAATTTCACTTAATTTCTACTTTCGACCAAAGTCAGGCCCAGACAACTTTCTTGGTGAAGGAAACTATCCAATGGGCCAATGGGTGTATCCCATTGCCACCTAACCGAACCATCATCATCCACTGCCCTGGTAATGGGAGAAACCATCATCATAGCCTACATTGACCCAAGATTGCCGGTTCCAAAGATCGTGTCTGGGCAGGAACGTTGGTGCAGGAACCCACCGGTACCGCAGGGCAAAGAAACCAGGAACCGCCAGCGCCGACCCGGTGGAAGCTCCTCAAGACCGATTTCCATCCGTTCTTCGACCTGGGAGCCTCACGTGGCGTCGTGGCGTTCGACGCTCCCCCCACACTAGACTACTAGCCGGGGTCTCCAGGACACAACAGACCTGGGAGGGTCACTGGCCCCTTTTGGGGCTGGGACACCTGGTGAAAGACCATTTCATCGGTCATAAAACTGGGTCCTACCCCTGGTGTTGGTTTTGGAGTCTCCAAATCCTATATATGGTGAAGACTATATAAGCTAGGGTTGTTGGGTCAAAGACACTCTAAATCTGTCATTTCCACCCACGGCAGTGTCGCCTGGTGGCATTTCGTGACGGTGTCGATTTTTTTTTTGAAACCTTGGCGGGTTTGCTTCGGGATGATCTTTGATGTTCCTGGGTGAATCCTCTTCTGGGGAATATGTTTGCAACCAGAACATGTTATATACTCTAACCTGGAGGAACATGTTATATGTTTGAGAATATGTTATACCAGAACATGTGATATTCCCCAGCATTATGTTTCTCAAATCCCTCTTACCTGGAACCATGTTCGGTCTGGGTGAATCCGGAAGCCCCGGAGGGGAACGCTTCCGCCCAGCACGGCTGGACCCGGGACCCGCGACCTGTGGCCCACCATGCTTTGAAGGGTCTGAATGCCCAAAGAACCACTGTCTTGCTATCATACATAAGGAGTTTGGGACTCTATATGATCAAAACCAGATATCAACCGTTATAACATGGGTCGAACGGACTTGTTTAGGGTGTTTAGGGTAAGATATACCGTAGGCTTCCTGGCCCACCATTTATTCAATAGGCGGGGTCATCCCGAATCAACATCAGGATTTTACACGAACAAACACCAGGTCCTTCCCATTCCTTTTTCATCCGTCGTCGCCCGCACGTCGAACGGGTCGAACTGTCGTTCCGGTTTCCCCGTCAGGAGGTGGTCTCCGTCCGCTGTGGACGACGACTCCAGGTGCGAACTTCGTATCTCCTCGTCGGTGTGCGCCGGTGTGTCCGTTCGAAGGGAGGGAGTGAAAGGCCTCCAGGCCACGTGTATCTTCCATGTCTTCCAAAGACAGGGACGCCCCCCCCCCCTGCAGAACTCAAGTTTCTGGCGGTGAAGGCAGGCCTGAAGGCCTTTTCAGCAGCACCCAAGGTCTGCACAGGGCTGGGGAAAACCCGAAGCTTCTTCGGCAGAGGACTGGACTGGACTTGACTGGACTCCATCTGCCGATCCGCTGAGAAAAGACCAGTCGCTGAATGCGTGCACCACAGCTTGTGATTGATCATGATTTCTCCATGAGATGGGCAACATCGGGTTGATTCTTCACACTCCCTCATGCAGCGCGACTGGATTTGAAGAAAGACTGGACTTAGTCCATGTCTGAATGGACGTGTCACAGTTTCGAGTCCAAAGAGGAGCCCCCTGAATGGTGAACGACATCGACACACGAACGACCAGTTCCCTGTGGAACAAAAGTAGACCATTCGTGACCGGTGGATGAGTCCACAGACGGCCACCTCTATAGGGTGTTTTTGGGTTTTTGAACACCTTTTCACCCAAGGAAATGAAAGCGGACTCTGATCAGTGGAAGGCTCACTCAGGTTCGGTCATGCAGCTTCCAACCCGAACCTTCCCAGTCACCGAAGAGGATTGGCGCTTGTGACGTGGCCGAGAAGCCACTGGGATCTCAAGTTCGGTCACTTTGAAGGTCCTGGAACGCGTATTTTCATGGTCTCAATGCTGCAAGTATGAGATATTCTCTCAAGTGCTCCTGGAGTCACAAAGGGGTGGTTTTTAGTCCCTAAGTGAGTGGACAATGGGCACTCCTGGCTGTTTGACCTTGTTCATGATGCAAGTAGGCCCTGGAAACAGGGCTTCACAAGATTGGAACATGCTGGGTCTACACTGTCTGGTTCCCCCCCAAAAAGCAACCTGTTGAAAGAATAGCTTACCGGTTGTAGAGGGTTAGTTTGGGTAACTAGGCTGATCCCGTACACAACCAAACCTCATTGCCTGGCGAAACCACTAAAGGGACCTGTGGTGGACCTGGTCTCGCGCTTCCCATGCACCGTCCCGCGTGGTTGGTTCGCAGGGTCTGATCACCCCCGAACTGGAGGAGGTCTGGTGATGGTGATTTTTCATTCACCGGAACCGATCTCTCTTCCAAGCACCATTGGTCCACATGGTTTGAGGGTTTCAATTCTCAATTCCGAAGGAACCATTTAGTTGGATTTGACCTCAAACCGGTGTGGTTCCCATTTGTTTCAAAGAACCATAGGTCGAACTCTCGCTTCACACCGGCGCAACCCGGGATTCACTTTTGGCGCAGGTTGGGTGGGACGGCGCGCTCCGAAATCTCCGGCGCAGGTGGAGGATCCCAGCTTCGCAGCACTCAAGGTCGATCGCGCGAAGGACTTGCAGATCGAGGAGCGCTTGACTCTCTCGCGCGACCGGGATGGCGACGTCGTGGCCGGTGTGGCTGGTCGCGGGAAACGCCGAGCTCTTTTTGGTGTTGGGGGTAGGGTAGAGACTCTGAGCCTATCTGAGCCTTTGGGTTCTTTGTTGCTTCTTTTTCCGGATGTGGAATTGTGTGGTTCCGCGGGTGGAAAGAGTTTTGGGCGGCTGGCAACGGCTGGAAGGCTTTTGGTGGTTGTTGGGTTCCATGGTGGAATGAATGGATGGTATGTGGGTAGATCGGCAAATTATTGGTAGATTGGGACTTGCAACTTCTTGAAGGGTCTTTCCCATGGGAAAACCATGGAGAGACCCCCAACCGAGCGCGCTCATGCGGTTTCAACCTGTTTCCCCGATCAGTTGGGGTTGTTTGAGGGGTCAATACACCATGAGCACACGAAAGCATGAAAAGCCAGCATAAAACCCCGGTCATGACTGGCAAGTCGCAAAACATCAAAACATGGCACGTCTGATGCAACCTGTCATTCCTGCTCAGGACCCGGTGGAAATTAGCCGCAACTTGAACTTCGCGTTGACGAAGGCGGAGCCATGTTGGGAGACGGTCTTCGGTCTTTCTTCGATTAAGGGTCAGACATCATCGGGTTGAACTCAGGGAGTCGCCTGTACTTGTCGAACTTGTCGTACCAATTTCAAATGGCTCATTTGATCTTGAAGTCGAGGGCTTGCACTTGTCACATGCCGCAAGGTCCGCAGCTCAGACGGTCCGGATCCAGGTCGTTGCTGACAGTCTTGTAGGGATGGCGCGAAGCAACTGGTACGACATGACCTTCAACTCAGAGGAGGAAGACACCTTTACTCCGGCAGAAACAAATGCAGCCAATGCTCATGAGCCGGAACGTCAAGCAGAGACACCCTTGGACCTCGCCAGAGATGCAATGGCTTTGCATCCAAATGGTACGTGTGATCCATGTGTCTTCTTGGCTTCGGCTCATGGCTGTTCCAAGGGGTTGGACTGTGACTTCTGTCACCTGCACCATCCAGAGGCCGATTCATCTAGCTTCTACCGTCCAAGGAAGGAGCGTCGCAGGAGGATGAAGCGGCAGATTCTGCAGCATCTCCAAGGACCCGATCCAGATGAAATTCAGCAAGCCTTGCAACCGCAGTCCGTATATGCGCTTCATCATCCCATCCCAAATTAATCTTCATTTGGGGGAGCCTACTCCTGCTTCCACGAGTGATAATATGTGAGGCAACCATCGTCACAAATCAGTGAGTACCTCTGTCAGATTCAGAGCATCTCGGGGGCACTCTTGTAACACATGTTTAAACTTTAGATAGCGCTGCAAGTCATGGAGTGCGGGGGTGTGTCCAAAGCGCACCTTGTTCGCCCCGGGGCAAGCAGCAACCTTGTGCAGTGCAGGGCGAGAGGCCAAGTCTTTTTGTGTGCTGCCAAGTTCTGCACGTGATGGCAGTGCGTGCAGCGCACAGGGTTCCGCCCTTGACAGTTTTTGGATACCGAGCATCAGTTGTATGCTGTTGCTGAGCCGGGCCCACAGTGGCCTGCTGTGAATAGTATGGTAATATCACGTCGACCAGGGATTCGCACAGCCTAGTGCCTATGAAATGATTGATTACAACTAACTTGTTCCACAGGAGAAAGGATTAGCGCAACAAGTTGTAAGCGAGATCCTGAGCATAGCAATCGACCTTGCATGTCGTTGGCCCTTTAAGTGGCGTCAGTTTATACGGCTCTTGCCCCTTTTGGAGCCTGACCAAGAGAACCCGAGTCACCGTCTTTTGGTGGCCAAGAAGCTGTACAAATTTCAGTTGTATGACAAGAAGAAGCTCTGGGTGTTGGCCAAGAAGTAGTATATATCTCATTACATCTCCGAATTCAACGCAACTTTTTGATAAGAATGTCTTGGATCAAGGGTTCTTGATGGAGACATGCACTAATAGAACACTAATTTGCTGGTACAGATGCCCTGCGATGCTGCTGATCTCATTGACTGCTGGTGTCAGTTTCACCATAATTTGTGTGCCTTGTATTGTTCTGTCAGTGCTTTCTGGCTCTCTTCTTCTCCCACAGCAAATCTCCCTACAGCAGCGACTGTTTGATTCTGTGACTGATCCTCCATAGTTAGGCGATGGACAGAACTGCAAGAGCGACTCCCCAATCTGTTGTTGATATGCAAAGCTGTGACGACCAGCGGCATGCGGGGACCGCGCGGGCGGCGGGGATGAAAGGCAAGCAGACGAGAGTTGGGGGATGTGGCCGAATCAAGAAGCACAGCTAGACGTCCCACGGTATCTTTTTGGTTCACGCCCCAAATGGAGATACATCTACCTAGTCCCTCATTTCGGTGTGTCTAATAATAGCTTGAACCCTTACCAGCGGGGGCCCTTAACCAGCACCCTGCCAGGCCTCCTCCTTAAGAATCCGGGCCTGAACAAATGAGAAGGGCGAGCTAGGTTCCGGTCCGTACCCCGTTTCGGTGGAGAAGGTCGAGGTCGAGCCCAAGCTCAGACTCGCCGGCGAGCCTGTTGGTTTCAGAGGTTTGATGGGCACAAGTTATCCCAAGTTTGGTGGTTTACATGGAGCCAAGTGTCTAAGACATCTTTGGAGTGCCAGTGCCAAACCATCAAACCTCTGAAAGCACTATAAGGCTTGGAAAGAGGGGCCTCCAGGGCCGCCAGGGTCCCTCTCCAAGAGCCAAGGAGCCGAACCCAGCGCTGAAACGCAAGTGCTCCTGGGATCTCGCTCTCCCTCTTCCCATCAGACGTCTTTTTTTGCAAGAACTTCATAACTGATCATACATGATCATTCACATCATCATTCTACATGATACGATTACTGATCATACATGATCATTCACATCATCATTCTACATGATACGATTACTGATCATACATGATCATTCACATCATCATTCTACATGATACGATTTAGGGTTTTCTTATTGATTTCGATGTAATGAAGGACACATGAAAAAGAGAAGCTCTACGTCCCCGCTTCAGCGCAAGGCCCGGGGGGGGTCTTCTTCCCCCGGCCCTCGCGCTGGTTCCCCTCTCGAGGCCGGCCGGATTCCAACGCTGATCCAGAGGGCGGCGAAGGTCTTGAGGCCTGTACCGCCGTCGGCGGCGATGCGTCCGAACATCTGGAGGCAGAACGAACTGCCGAACCGAAAGGGAAATCCCAAAGCAGATCCCTTTTGGAGGACTTGCTTCGAACGGAGAACGGAGCGAACGATGAAATCGTTGGTCACTTGGTCATACAAAATCCACGACTCGTGGGAAAAAAGCGGTTTGTCATGGGTCAGACGGTCAGTGGGGTTTCAGAAAAACACAATATATTCCCGAAAGCATTGCGAAGGGTTCTTCCGGAAAATCCTTTGAACACTTACACTTCGACACTTACACTTACACACACACACACACTGGAAGAGCGAAAGCATCCAAGTGCGAAGTATGCCAGTGTCAAAGTATGCAAGTGTAAGTATGCAAGCACGCAATGAGTATACAAGCATGCAATGAGTAGGCAAGTGTGAGTATGGAAAACTAGCACGGGAGATGTCCTAATGAAAAAACATTTCCCCACTTTATAAATTCTCTCTTAAAGGCGGAGTGCGGGACGAACAGCGTCAACCGAAAGTGCAACCCTCTGCGGAGATCGTGCGTGTCGAGTGCGCGAAATGCAGGC